CATGTCCCTCTCCTTCCTAGTGTTTATCACAGTATTAATTTGTCACTTTTGTGGATGATCGTTGGATTAATTCTTTCTCCCCTATCATTGTAATCCCCACAACGATAGGATCTGTTTCTTGTTTGTTCTCTCTTGGGTCCCCATTGCCCAGTACTCTTCCTGCCACATCACAGAGGTTCAAAAAAAAATTGTAAAATAAATAACTGCATGCCTTTTGCTTCCCAGCCTCTCCCACCTGAAATGTCTGTTTTTCACCTGATTCACTGTGGCCTGTACCAAAGGCTTACTAATGATTATTCCTGGCTCGTACAGTTCTTACTTTGGTATCCAAGCTTATGTAGCATTTTATATCCTTCACACATTTTGCTGGTTCTCCCTCAAGAGGGCCTGCTGGAACCTCTGGGGACGGGGCTTTGCGGAGTGAGTGTCATTGAAAGATCTCATCCAGGGCCTTCTGGTCCACCAGCTGCCTTGCAGCCAGAGGGCAGGAGGACCCTCCTCTGAACCTCAGAGTAATTTCTTGGGGTGTGGGAATATACTCTCACCAAGCACTCTTCTCAGGAGCCCTACTCTGTATCCCCTCCCTCCCCAGCACCCTCAGGCTTCATGGACTGCATATTTACAGAGGAAATAGCTGCCCTTTTTTACGTGTGTTGGAAAGAGCAGATCTTCAGACCTAGAGAAACACTCACACTGCTGTCAGCTTCCTGTGGAACCGCCTAACACCTTTCTGGGGCGTGTTGATTCCCTACCCTTTGAGCTGAAGGCCAGTCCATTACCCTGGGCGTGTGAACAGTGCAGCGCTCAGAAGCCCTGAGATGGCATCTTGGCAGAGCTACCTGGGCCACTGAGTCCCCCAGTGTCGGCTGTGTACCCAGGGACAGGCAGGTCTCCACGGCAGTGGGTGTTTCCAGCCAAGGTCCCTCTCAAATTGGCACATTCTCCATGAGCTTTCTAGACTTTGCAGTTTGTCTTGCTGTTTGGGAACAATTTCCATCATCAACTGACTGGCAAGGACTAGTTCTGGGGTAACGCGTGTCTTTCGAATAGCTTAACACACAATAGGGCACAGAGATCCAACGTGCTTCTGACGTCATCACTTAAATATACAATCCCGTGGTGTTCCCAATGTAGAGGATCATCTTGAAACATGTCCAAAAACACACCCTAGTTTTCACTCCTTGGGCTTTTTCTCTACCTTTGGCTATCCATATGTGCTGATAGGTTATTTGAATTTTTCTATTCTAGATTAATTTACCATTCAAATCTGTGTTTCACAGACTTCCATAATGTTGAATTGTTATTTTTTATTCTTAAAATGTTCAGTCAAATCATCCACGTTCTAGGAGGCTGAGTGGCAGCTTTGTAACTGATTTCCCTGCTTTTAGAATCCCTGTTTGCCCAGGATTGAGACATGGGATTTTCAATGGGAAAACCGGGAAAGTCCAGACCAATCAGGACAAACTTGTCACCCTACTACCATTTTACCCTTGATAGGAGAGTAGGTAGACCCAACCAAAGGTAATTATCATTCCCTGTCTCTCCTGCTTTCTTGGCTGGTAGGAATTTCCTGAAGCCAATACCTTGCTAAGCTACTTCTCTTTCTCTCCTTAGTATAAACAGCTTTCCCAAGATAAAATTAACATCACATGTGATTCACTCATTTAAAGTGTGCCATTGGATAGTTCTTAGGATATTCATGTAGTTGTGCAATCTTCACCCCAGTTCTGGAACATTTTCATAACTTCCCAAACAAACCCTGTACCCGCTGACAGTCAGTCCCATTTCCCGGATCCCCTCCCTGTTGGCAACCATTGGTCTGCCCCTGGTCTTTGTAGCTTTGCCTTTTCTGGACATTTCATGTAAATGGAATCATACAATATGTGGCCTTTTGTTTCTGGTTTCTTTTACTTAGCATCCTGTTTTCAAGGTTCTTCCATGTTGTAGCATGAATCAGCACTTCATTCCTTTATATGACTGACTATGATTCCATTGCATGGGTATACCACACTTTATTTATTTCTTCATAGGTTGATGGACATTTGGGTGGTCTCCATCTTTTGGCTATGATGAATAATGTTGCTATAATTACGTGCAATTTTTTGTGTGGGCATATGTGTTCATTTCTCTTGGAATTCCTGGGTCATGCAGTAACTCTATGATGAACCTTCTTTTTTTTCTTCTTTTTTTTAAATTTTATTTTATTATGTTATGTTAGCCACCATACATTACACCATTAGTTTTTGATGTAGTGTTCCATGATTCATTGTTTGTGCATAACCCCAGTGCTCCATGCAGAATGTACCCTCTTTAATACCCATCACCAGGCTAACCCATTCTCCCACCCCCCCTCCCCTCTAGAACCCTCAGTTTGTTTTTCAGAGTCCATCATCTCTCATGGTTTGTCTCCCCCTCTGATTTCCCCCCCTTCATTCTTCCCCTGCTGCTTTTTTTTTTTTCTTAACATATATTGCATTATTTGTTTCAGAGGTACAGATCTGTGATTCAACAGTCTTGCACAATTCACAGCGCTCACCATAGCACATACCCTCCCCAGTGTCTATCATCCAGCCACCCCATCCCTCCCACCCCCCACCACTCCAGCAACCCTCTGTTTCCTGAGATTAAGAGTCTCTTATGGTTTGTCTCCCTCTCTGGTTTCATCTTGTTTCATTTTTTCCTCCCTTCCCCTATGATCTTCTGTCTTGTTTCTCAAATTCCTCATATCAGTGAGATCATATGATACTTGTCTTTCTTTGATTGACTTATTTCGCTTAGCATAATACCCTCTAGTTCCATCCATGTCATTGCAAATGGCAAGATCTCAGGGTTTTTTGATGGCTGCATAATATTCCATTGTATATATATACCACATCTTCTTTATCCATTCATCTGTTGATGGACATCTTGGCTCTTTCTATAGTTTGGCTATTGTGGACATTGCTGCTATAAACATTGGGGTGCATGTACCCATCAGATCACTACATTTGTTATAATGAATCTTCTAAGGAACTTCCACCAGACTGTTTTCCAAAGTAGCTAGACCATTTTATATTCTCCCCGATAGTGTGAGGAGGTTTCCATTTCTCCATGTCCTTGCCAACACTTGTGATTGTCTGGTTTTTTTTACTATAGCCGTCCTAGTGGATGTGAAGTGGTATCTCATTGTTTAATTTGCATTTCTCTGATGGCCAAAAATGTTGAGAATTTTTTTCATATGCTTATTGCTAAACCTCTTAAGTGGAAAATTATAATGAAAAGGATGTTTATAAATAGCTGATTTTGCACTGGGCTTAAGATTTTTTCTTAAAGATTTTATTTATTTATTTGACAGAGAGAGAGAGCAAGCACTAGCAGGGGGAGCGGCAGGCAGAGGGAGAGGGAGAAGCAGGCTCCCCGCTGAGTAAGGAGCCCAATGTGGGACTCGATCCCAGGACCCCGGGATCATGATCTGAGCCCAAGGCAGATGCTTAACTGACTGAGCCACCCAGGCGCCCCTGGGTTTAAAATTTTAACTAAATATTGAAATAGGATGTTCACAACTGATTGCTGTTATCTTAAATCATTCTATGTGGAGGTACATTTCCAAGTTTTATTTAAACCATTGACTTTTCCTCGTGACCAGAAGTGGTCCCAGGGTAAGTCCCTCTCTCATCTGCTCTGATGTTGGGCCATCCTCTGTTGGGCCATTCTCTTCATCAAGCCTTGCTGCCTGAGAGGCTGTCTTCTTCTGGAGCCAATGGACTGTGTGTTGCCTGAATGTAGGCTTGGATTGGCACCCCTGGTGTTCTCTCTGTTGACCGACTTCCTCAAAGCTCTGGATATCCAGTCATCACTCCTATTATTTGGGCTCTGTGGCCTTCTGGGCACTTTAAACACTTGTTCTTGCTTTTCTCTTGGCTCTCTGATTTTCTGTTACTGCTTTCTCCTTGTCTCTTTCTCCAGTTTCTCCTGTGCACTCTATATGCTCATTTAATTTTGCTCATCCGTCAGCTTGTTCCTTCATGCCTCTGCTAACAAAAAGATCCAAGGCACTCTATTCCATCTCCTGCCCTTGCCTTCTCTGCCTCTTTTACAAGCTGGTTTCCTCTCAGGAAACCCCACTGATTTGGTAGAAAAGGATAGTATTCTGAGCAAGACTACCGAGAAAATGATCCCCTTGAGAAAACACGCTCTCTATCTGGAATATGTTTTGGGGTTCAAGAATGGCAAGTAGTGGTTTTCTTCTTTCCTAGAGGGGCCCTGGCCATGGTTGTGTTGTGGTTACCCACCATTTCTGTAAATGTCTATGGATGACCCCACTCACTCCCCCAGCCTGATCAGCAGCTACACAGAAATACTGTTTCCCCATTTTAAAAGATTTTATTTATTTATTTGACAGAGAGAGAGACACAGCGAGAGAAGGAACACAAGCATGGGGAGTGGCAGAGGGAGAAGCAGGCTCTCCACTGATCAGGGAGCCCAGTGCGGGGCTCAATCCCAGGACCCTGGGATCATGACCTGAGCTGAAGGCAGACGCTTAATGACTGAGCCACCCAGGTGCCCCTGTTTCCACATTTTAAAGCCATTATTGCCTGATATGTATCGGTCAAGTGGCTGCTATGTTGTAGTTTGGCAGAGGAGACAAGTGTAATAATTAATAAACAAATAAGTAGTAGTAGTTGTAGTAGTAGTAGTAATAATAACAAAAAATGAGCCAGGCACTATTCTAAGCAGTGGAGGAAGAATAATTCCAGTCCATGGGAGAAGCGGGCAGTAAGTACTTTCATCATCATTTTCGCGTTATTACCTACTTCATAAGGAGATTTAGCCCAGCACAGGGTAACATAGTCACATTCATATGCTGAAAGGGTCCTCTGTGTCTCCTTTCTCCATTTTTCCAACAGGCATGTCCCCAGGGACACTTGGGACGACCCGCCATTTTCAGCCCTGACCAAAGAGACCTGGGGTTTTCATGAGTACAGCGTGGCAAGTGGTGTTTGTCGGTTTGTGTATTTCAGAGCCAAGGCGCTGGAGAAGGAGGAGAAGTTGCGGCGCGTGGTCAGGCGGGTCCTGAAGTGCGACGTGACTCAGAGCCGGCCGCTGGGCACCGTGTCCGTGCCCCTGGCCGACTGTCTGCTCAGCACGCTGTGCCTGGACGCCGCCTGCCCAGACCTCCCTGCCTACTGCGCAGCCCTCAGGAACCTCGGCAGCCTGCTAAAGCCGGGGGGCTTCCTGGTGGTGGTGGACGCCCTGAAGAGCAGCTACTACATGATTGGGGAGCGGAGGTTCTCCAGCCTCTGCCTGGGCCAGGAGGCAATAGAGGCTGCCGTGAGGGAGGCTGGCTACTCTGTTGAGTGGTTTGAGGTGATCTGTCAAAGTTATCCCTCCACCATGTGTGACAACGAAGGGCTTTTCGCCCTGGTGGGGCGGAAGCTGAGCAAATCTGTATGACCCTTTGTGGTTGCAATTAAAGCAATTCCTCTCTCTGGCCCAGTTAACTTTGGTCCTTTGTTCTAACTGCCACGGTCACTGTGCTGAGTTGAGTCTAATGCCTCATGCAGGACAGGGTGGGTGCAGTCAGTCAGTGGAGGAACAACTGGGTGACCAGCGACTCTGTGCTTCCCATGTGGGCTACGGGGACTCAAAGATGAGCAACCGGGACATCCAGTCTTCGCTACCCATGATTAGAAAAGAAGACCCCCTTTTCCTTAAGCACCCCTAGTTCTGGCAGCTCACGCCCCCACACACCTACAGAGCAGTGTCTGCGGTGATGAGCTCTCTTTCCTACGGGGCCCGCTGCTTCCTTCTCTCGGGAACATGCTTCTCCTGTTCCTCAACAATTGCCTTCTCCGGGGACCCCATCCTCTGCTGGGGCCCACTGGCACCACCACCACGTCTGAGGATCAGAGAACAGGTGTCCCCTTTGCTCCTGGGTCCCAAGTGTGGGGCAGGTCCTTCTCTTATTTCCTTTAACACACTAGGCCAAGGCTGTGACTTCTACCTGAAGAGAAGTTTAGGAGTTAGCAAGAGAGGTAACAGGCACTATCTCACAGCTGCTATTAGAAGCAGGTATCTTCAGAGCTCACATCCTTAGAGGGTTCTGGAAGGTAGTCTTTTTTTTTTTTTTTAAGATTTTATTTATTTGAGAGAGAGAGAGAGCACCAGCTGGGGGGGAGGGGCAGAGGGAGAGGGAGAAGCAGATTTACCGCTGAGCAGGGAGCCTGACACAGGGCCAGATCCCAGGACCCCAAGATCAGGACCCGAGCCGAAGCCAGATGCTTGACCGACTGAGCCACCCAGGCACCCCTGGAAGGTAGCCTTTTGGCATAGCTCTTGGACAAGCATCTATTTGGAGTTAGGCTTACCTGCCCATGGCATGTCTACCTTCCCTGGTTCCCAGGCCCTATCGCCATGATGCTCTAAAACAGAGGTGGACAAACTATGGCCCATGAGCCAAACCCAGCTTGCTGCCTGTCTTGTGAGGTTTTACTGGGACGCAGCCATGGCCGATCATGCGTGTGTTGTCTGTGGCTGTTTGCGCACTGTAATGGCAGAGTTGAGTAATTGTGACAGCAACCGTCGGTATGGCCCGCAAAGCCTAAAATATCTGTTACCTGGATATTTACAGAAGAAGCTTGTCTACCCCTTCCCTAGAGAGAGGATTGTCCTCGTCCGCCAGGTCTGAGGCCCGTCTCTCCAGTCTGTTTCTCCTCCCAAGATTTCCCTCTCCCCAGGATTACTGACAGAGGACATTGCTGCTTCCCACAGGGAGATTCCTGCCTTCCCCCTACCGCCACCCCCCCACGCCCTGACAATCATATCAGTGCCCGAGGGTCTATTATCGCACATGTTTGTTCATTTGGTTGTATAGGACCATCATGTTACAACACAGTATCCGTCCATTTTCAGGATGTTTTCAATTGTTCCATCTCCTCGGACATTCACGTTACAATTTCTAGAGATTCCATCCTAAAGGACACTAACAGGCCAGTCCAGGCTGGATGGAGAAAGCCAAGTCCAACTCTGTTCCTAGGAGCAGGTGGGGATGACCAGGCCTGTGCCTCCCTTCTGCAGAAAACTGCTCTTGGGAAGAGCTCACTTGACTCCCCAGGAGCCACCAAGACCACCAAGAAGCAACCAAGTTTGTGGAGATAGGGCTCTCTTAAACCCAAGTGCCATTTACCCAAAGGCCACAACTTCTGAAACTTCAGGCATTTGGGGTACCTCCCAAAAGGATGGCCCTTACTTACATTTTGCATAACTGGATTGCCTGGTTTAAAGGAATGCTTTGCAATCTCCTTCAAAAGCAAGCTTTAAAATAATAAGGCTTCTGCTTTCATCTATGAAAATCTGAGACCAGCCTGGTCATAACAGTTTTATAAGGCTCAGTCCCTTCACAGACAGTCTTCTGTGATTTTTACCTCTAAGGTGACATTTATTATACTGCATTATAACTGTCTTATTTTTCTGTTTCCCCACAGAACTGTGAGCCTCTTGGGTTTACATTTAGATTCCCTAGTACTTTGGCCAGACATGGTCTCAAACCCTGGGGGACAGAGCAGTGAGTAGCGGATGGAAGAGCCCTGTTCTTGGGAGTTTATGTTCTAGAAGCAAAAGCGGGGGATAAGGAAACAAGTCAATAAATCAGAGACTTTCTGATCGTGACAGAGCTATGAAGGAAAGAGAACAGCAGAATGGAATGGAGACTAAGTGACAGAATATCTGGCTGAAAATGGTCTGAACAATAGGGGTTTATTAATCTCACTAAAAGGAAATCCAGAGGTAGGCTCTTCTGGGATAGAATGGTGGCTGGACAGCATCATGCAGCGGCAGGGTTCCATCCGTCTGTCGTTCACCTTTGCCTGGGAGGGGGGTTTTCATGAGAGGAGATCTTTTTCAGAAGCGCCCAGCGGGCTTTCTTACATCTTATTGACCCAAACGGTAGTCACATGCCCACCTCTAGACCAATTACAGATAAAAATGGAAAGAACAAAGGGCACATTCCTTGAGATTTGCTAAATAAAGGAATTCTTAGATGGCAGCAAAGAGGAAAAAAGAAAACCCACTGGATTCAACGAACGAGCCAACATCTTAGCAATCCATTCTCTTTCTTTCAACGACAAAGATCATCCCATTTTCAAATTCTGGCTCTGCCACCAGTAGTAGCTGGTTCTCCTTGGGCAAGTTACATAACTTCTCTGTGCTTTAGTTTTCTCAGCTGTAAAATGAGATTCAAGTGGAATTTCTTGTCAAGAGAATAAAAATGAATTGCTACGTATAAAGAACCTAGAATAATGCTTAGTGGTCGGTAAGTACATAATATTTATTGTTAGCTATAATCCTAATCTTCGTCTTTGATGCTAGTTGCCAAAGCTGTGGTGAAAAGGTGTCTTTTTTTTTTAAAGATTTTATTTATTTATTTATTTGAGAGAGAGAGAGAGAGAGAAACAGCATGAGAGGGGAGAGGGTCAGAGAGAGAAGCAGGCTCCCCGCTGAGCCGGGAGCCCGATGTGGGACTCGATCCCAGGACTCCGGGACCATGACCTGAGCCGAAGGCAGTCGCCCAACCAACTGAGCCACCCAGGCTCCCGAAAAGGTGTCTTGATCTCTAAGCAGGAGAGAGAATTTCAGTCCTGGGCTGCAGGCTCTTTCCTGGCACTGCCTTCCAGAGGAGGTCCAATAATTCTCCGTTTCCATGCCACATGCCAATCCCTTTCTCATTTAAGCCATACATTTATTATTTATTTAGAACCAGGCAGTGGGGATGCAAACGAACCCCCAGTGTCAGCAGGCTCAAGGGTCCCTATCTTTGCAATCACATCACTAACACCCCCAGTGCTTCCAGATACTTCCAAGGGCAAGGCTGTAACCTGCAGCAGTCGTCCCCACGCAGAACCTGCCCGGGTCAGCCTCTCCGTCTCAGGCTCTGCTGCGGCTGACACGCATCCCTGGCCTGTGAGTGCTGGCGAAGGGATAAGATGGTCTGTCTGGAGAAAGGAGCTGCCCCTCGGAGGCCTCAGAGCCAGGCGCTTTCCTCTCAGAGACTTGGGGAACACTTCCTGTCTATCCCGCAGGTGGGCAAACTTTCCCCACAAAGGGCCAAATAGTACATATTTTCGGCTTTACAGGTCATGCCGCCTTGATCCCAACTACCCGGATCTGAAGTTATAGCAAAAGCAGCCAAAAAAAGAAAAAAAAAAAAGCAGCCTGACCAATATGCACATTAATGGGCATGGCTGTGTTTCAGTAAAACTTGATTTATAAAAACAGGTGGATGGGTGGATTTGGCCCAAAGGTTGGAGTTTACTCTTTCCTGATCTAGATCCTGAAGCCGTCTTGTTTGTACCCGAAGTGTTATAGGGTTTCTAGTTAGTTTCTAACACTCAGTCCTACCAATAGGAGCTCAGACCCAGGCCAAGGGGCTAGAAAGGGAATGGGAAGATTTTCTTAAAATTACTCGGTTGTGCTCATTCCTCTCTTGCCCTCTGCATCCCCCAGTCAGAACTCCTTCCTTCTCCCCCAGTTTGAAGGCATCCATAACAGCAGATAGAAAATGGGAGTCGGGGCCAGATGAAGTCAATCACACCAATATTTTCCCAACGGCAGGTTGTCATTCATTAGCGCACTATAAAATTAATCAATACCCATTTGAAAAAATAATAGAGAATAAACCAGAAAACAAAATCCCAGATAGTAGCATTTATTTTGTGGGGTGTTTTTTTTTTCAGTTTTGTAAAACAATCGTGTACTATTATAGATAACCATAAATATCTGCTCCTGGATTATGATCTAAAATAAAATGTATTTATTACTGTCGTTTGTGATCACAAGAGTTTGGAAGCCACTGACTGTGGTCTAGGCGTCTGGGGCTCATCTCTGGAGGCCAACATTTGTCTTTCCTATAGAGATTAAAGGTGCGGTCTCTGTTCTTAAAGAACTCCACGTCACGGAAACTGACACGAAAAAGCAGGTCACAATTCATTGCGATAAGAGCTCTGAGATGAGTAAGCACAGGGTGTTCTGGAGTGGGGGTGTCGAGAAAGGTGGCATTTGCTCTGGGTCCTGCAGGCTGAAGAGGGGTGTGTTTGGCAGACGGGAAAGGCCAGGCAAGCTAAGGAACATCGGGTACAAAAGCATGAAATGGCTCTCGCTATCACATTCCTCACAGATTTGTTCTCCAAGTGAAGTCAGGACCTAAGCAAACATTTGTCTGCTGGGTTTTGTTTGCTTTCACTGAAATCAAACAGACCAACCAAGTCACTAGCAAACACTGAGTAGGGGTCACTCCGGTACTAACTTATAAATCTCTTTGACCACTGACCCAGCGCAAGGATTTTCGGTCCACTTTCTGGGAAGCGCTCAACAGTCTCTCCCTGAGCCAAATTTTATGATGCAGGAAGACGCAAGTCTGTGTGTAATGTCCTGGTCAATGACCGGGGAAGAGAAAGCTATTAAAAAGGTTGTCCATCCATTTGGTGGCGTGCAGCC